GAAGCCGAAGTATTGGTAGTTGAAGTCACGGTCATAGACAATGGCAGAGTCGAGCTCTTCCTTGTGTCTCATGACGGCATCGTATGTCTCCTTGGCAATCATGGGAGACGCCCGGTTGTTTCTAGGGTTGACATAGTGGTAGAGGTCGCTAATGACCGAAGACCATTGCTTCTTGGTCTGCTTGTGGAGGTTGGAGACAGCTATGCGGGCAGCGAGGATGGCATAGTCGGGGTGGGTGACAGTCATGTATGCGGCAGTCTCGGCGGCCTGTTCATGAAATTGTTAGCACCCGGTAGAGAGAGGTAGAGGAGAGCAGTGTTTACCAAGTCATCAAGCTGCACAGTCGTGACACCACCGTAAACACCGGAGATAACCTTTTGGGTGATGGCAACCGGGTCAACGTGGTCCATGTCGAGGCCATAGCATAGCCTGGACACTCTGGCAGTAATCTTGTCGAACTGGACGCGCTCCTGGCGCCCGTCTGCGCTCAATTAGTATCGTGAGCGACCACTTAACGCGTCTGAGCAGTACATACCGCGCTTCCTCACGAACATGGTGCCTGAGTTCGGCTATGAGATTGTGGGAGACGGGGGGTTTTGGGTCGTCTCGCGGGAGACGTAGGAACACTCGAGAGCAAGAAGATGAAGGTGAATTGCTGTAGAAGAGAGATGGGGTATCAAGAGCACCAAGAATTAGAACTGTAATGGTGCTAGAAGAAGTTGCGTCAAGAGTGTTTGGGTTGTGGGAGGTTGAGAAGAGAATAGAAAGATGCCAGGAGGTGCTGCAGATACTTATGGCAGTGCCAATTCGCGTAGAAACGCGTCTACGGGTCTCAACGCCAAAGTGGACTTTAGCGCGACGAGGTAGGGGGGCAGGGGGGGCACGTCAAGGCATCAATAATAAATTGGCTGGCAAAAGGCCGCAAAAGTGGTTTTCTGGCCTTGTAGGCTAGGCATCTCCGCCCGTGCCCCTCGGTTCACGTTCGCATCCCCGAGCCAACACTTACCTGGAACACAATGGACGACTGTAAAAAGAACGGACAATCTCAATCTCACAGCTGGCAACCACTGGACTTGACTAATGCTAAGGTACGTACGACTGACTGGCTTGGAAATCAAGTCTGACAACAACTCCACTGTGGATGGATTGTTGTTTGTCTCTTCCCATTCTTCTCACTTCCCATCTGACGCGGGTTGCCGCTTGCAACGGAGAGATGACTTCACATTTGTCCCGAGGAACTGTCCTGCTTGGAATGCACTCTGAAACTCTTTAATTGATTTTACTCGCGTCAAACCGATTAGTCGGGTGCAGTGCACGCGTTGACCCCTCATCACCGTTTCAGCGCAGCGATGCGGTGGTGCACTTTAATGGATTTTTCTGTAGGCACTTTACGCGTTCACTGCACGTCGCTTCATGGCGGGGGTTCCACTCCATCACGATGTCACGTGAGAGAGGCCAAAATCAATTAAACAGCCTCAGTGAGATTGAGGCCAAACGACGTCACGACTATATCAATTGGCGTTTTCCTGCCTCGAAGACATGAAATTTTGAAGCTTGAAGACATCATTGCCCATTATCCATGAGAGGATTCTCACCTCTGTTTCTCACCAGAGCACGGCCGCAACAGTTGATCCAACCATTGCATAGAAGCTTTCTGTCATCGCCATCACCCATACTCACAATGGCCACTCCCACAGAGGCCTGTAAGCCGGCATACCAGCCCCGCTATATTGATGTGTGTAACTCACGCTCGTCAAACTTACTCATGATTCAGCGTGATAACCCTCTATTCTTGGTAGATTGGCATCAACTTGGCCGATCCCATCTTCAGAGGTCTGCACCACGGCAAGCAACGGCACCCTAACGACCTTGCCGGGGTCATCTCAAGAGCGAAGGAAGTCGGATGCACCAAGCTGATAGTCACGGGGTCCGACTTCACCAGCTCCAGAGATGCCCTGGATATTGCAAAAGACTACCGTGAGTCAAATAGATGTGCACCTTACGTCAACCTGTCATTGACTTCGCGATAATGCAGCTGGCGTCGTGTATACGACGATCGGAATCCACCCCTGCAGCAGCGCAATCTTCAGCAGCTCGGACGATGCCGCAGAGGGCATTAACACGGATCCGGACCCCGAGAAGCCGATCTCTGAGCACCACGAGCCGGATCCGAAGAAGACGGAGGCCATCATAGCCGAGCTTCGTGACCTCATCAACGAGTCGACCGCCTCCCACTCCGGCGTCGTCGCCTTTGGGGAGTTCGGGCTCGACTACGACCGCCTGCACTACTGCTCAAAGAAGGTTCAGATCCACGCTTTCGCAGCGCAGCTTGATCTCGTGCTCGAGACGAAGCCTCAGCTGCCCCTTTTCCTACACTCTAGAGCAGCACACGCGGACTTCGTCCAATTACTCAAGGACAAGTTTGGGGACAAGCTCGAGAAGCTGGAAAAGGGCGGCGTTGTGCACAGCTTCACTGGTTCCATGCAGGAAGCCAAGGAGTTGATGGATCTGGGCCTGTACATTGGCATCAATGGGTGCAGTTTCAAGACCGAGGAGAACTGTGAAGTCGTCAAGCAGATCGGCCTGGACAGGATGATGATTGAGACCGATGGCCCTTGGTGCGAAATTAGACCGAGCCATTTCGGCTACAAGTATCTCATTGAGAAAAAGCCGGAGGTTAACGGCACCGCTCAAGATGCTGCCAACGGGACTGCAACCCCAGAAGTCCCAGCTCCGAAGCCTCAGCCCAAGAAGAAGAATCAGAAAAAGGAACCTGAAGTGCCGGAGCGCTTCAAGGTCGTCAAGAAGGAGAAGTGGGAGGAAGGAGCCATGATCAAGGGCCGTAACGAGCCATGCATGATTGAGCGTGTAGCTAAAGCCGTGGCGGGTATTAAGGGAGTCGAGGTTGAGGACATTTGCGAAGCCGCTTGGAGAAATACTGTCAAGGTTTTCGGCGTAGAATAGAGCGTAGAGCACAGCATAGAACAATAGACCAGAAGACTTTCGAAAAGAAATCAATTTGGGGGGTATCAATATCATTGAAAGTACACGCGCAACGCAACGACTGCGGCCTACGATAGCCTCCTTTCGGAGAGGATTTTATATGCCAGACCCTTTATGGCCCCTGATCCGGCCATGCCGTACGGCCCCTACTGTGACACCTTCTTCCCCAGTCAACCATCCCGGCACTCGCTCTCCATCTATGATGCCGTTCTCCACAAGCTGCCGTATGCCCGCGAATACATGTGATCCGTGCAATATCAGCTTGACGTTGGGGGCCCAAGTTGACGACTGTGTTCGGGGCCGATCTTCAGCACCTGACTCAGCTCGAGAGCTGTCGTTAGGAAAAGGATCCTCCATGACAATGTCTACTCGCTCGATGCCCAGTCCATCGTCGTTTTTGGCTGTATCGCCGAATCTGGCCTGGGCACATAGACGAGCTCTCTTGTAAAACTTTTCGTCTGTCTCAGCGGCGCCAGCTTTCCGTTTGGAGTCCCTCTTTGCCGCCGAAGCCGAGGTGTCATCCGCTGAATCTTCCGACAAAGGCGGTGTTGGTAAGATGGTGTCAAGCGGTGACTCATTCTTCTTCTTGTCGGCATAGATATCCCAACCGCCACCTGCCGCATTCGTTCGGCCAACGCCTCTGGATTGCAACAGCGCATCGAGGTTCTTGGTTGTAATGTTTGTTGGTTTCAGTGTGTATCGTTCCCGCGGTCGAGAAAGCGCCTTCGGTATTCCTTCGACAACCAGGTTGCGGAAGCTTTTAGATTCGCTTGCTCCCAAAGACCCGACTGTCTGAGATTTGGACAAATAGACGAACGGCGAGGCATCTGGAAAGGCGATGAATAACGTCCGTGAGCTGTCGAGATCCGAGTCGGATTGCGTGAGACCAGTTCCGAGTTGAGTCATGCTCGTGCTGTAAGGAGACTCGACCATGAAGATGCGCAAGACGGAGAGGGTAAGCCCCTCGGGTCGATGAAAATGAAAATGAGCTTTGACGTCGGGCAATACGTGTGACTGAAGGTTTTGGATGAAGGTGGATGGGTGAAACCGGGGAAGGGTCAAAGACGCAGTGTCGACTTCTGGGGCCTGCTCTTCATCATCCACGTATGAAGCCTCTTTGAGAGGCATGATACGATAGGCATTCCATTTCTGCGAGGTGGGGTGGTCTTGAAGGTATTGGGCATCTGCCAGCGCCATTTGGTATAGGGTTAGGCCATGACTCCAATCGCCGTCGGTGATGCGATCAATGATCTCTCGTTTGGACCCTTTCCTGAACTGTAGATCCGCATAGATGGTCCGTAGCTCTTCTACCGATGATGCCGGGGGGTAGAGACCGTCATCATTATCCTCTTCGTCTAGTATAGGCGCGCATAGTGGTACATTCTCATCACTGAGCCATTCGAGGACCAGAGACAGCAAGGATGAACGGGATAAGCGTCCAAGAGCTTTTTGAACGGAAGAGTTGCTGGGCGGTAGTCGTACTGTCGACGACAAGCGTCCTGTAGTTGGGATTGAGAATCGTGCCATGGCCGTCAAAACATTGTGCTTGTGAGGGAAAATCTGGCAGTGTTTTGATGTGTCGCGAGCGAGTGCACTGTACTGCACTTTCCTTGTACCTTCGCGGGTGGGGAGGGGGGGATACGAAATATCGCGATGCTTGAGCCTCGGAAATGTCGTCAATCACCCCAGTGACTGAGGCTGAAGTATCTTGAGCGGAGATGGGTTCTGTTATTGGTCGTTGAATCGTTGTAGAGCAAAGACGCGTCGCGTATCCGTACCGTCAAAAGCTCACATGCAATTATGGTGCACGGAGCACATGTTGCATACGGGGTCGGAGGGGCTTACCGCGAACAGGGGGACACGGACCACAACGGAGGGGCACGGAGCAGTGGCTCTGTGGGCGGCAGACGTTAAGGTTGGACAAGGGGAGGAAGGCAGTCCGCAGGGACGCTGACAGGATCGGAATGCTTAGGTAGGCAAGGCGAGACGGCTACGGGTTATGGGTGCCCGATCCGACCATGCGTGCCGGCGGGGCCTAAGGTAGAGAAGAGGCCGGCGGCCAAGGCACCCATGGTACCCAGCCCGGAGCCTGCAAATGACGGGAGCAAGTTGCTTACAGTGGAGGCGTAAGGGTTGTTTTGTTGACGGCGACATGGACGGCAGGGTTCACGATGTTCTGGGACCGAGATGTGCCTTACCTAAGGTACGGAGTACGTTGCGTAAGCCTGTAAGGTAAGGTATCACACTTGAGATGGTTGGCATCAAACGTGCAAGCCCAGGGCGTGGGCAGCGAGAAAGACATGGGTAAACGGGCAGATTAGCAGCCAGCCAGCGGGGCTGTGGTCCCTCCCTGGCAGACGGCGGTCCTGGTCTGCGCGGTAAAGTCCCTGGAGCCTGAAGTATGTATGTAGAAAGGAATAGGTGCAGGATGCAGCGGCTGAGAGGCACGGTCGGGCCTACTTCCCGAACATGGCCGGTGGCGCTTCCGAGGGTCGGAGGGGTTGGCAGTTGCTTAGAAATTCAGATTTAAGGGTCCTTTCACAAGGACGCACACACTGAAGGATTGTAACAACTAACAAGCTGTGGCACGATGCGATGCCCAGACACGCCAGAGGAAACACGGCAAGGTTGACACCAGAAACCCGCGACCATGCCCAAACGAGACCAGCCGAGTCATGATGGACCCGGGTTCTCATCGTGAGCAACGAATAACGTGGTTGGGGGAAGTCGGGACTTGGGTAATTGGGATTGCTACTGTCGTGACCGTAGCGCGGGTATTGCATTTACCGCCGGTATTTAGTACCGAAACATTAATAATCTTCCACGAGCGATGCAAGCCACGGCGTAAGTGGACTCATTTGTGCGCACAAAACTTAGAATCTGTGTAATAACGTTTCGTCAGTGGAATGTTTCTAGAACTCAATCCAAGAGAGGCCGCATTGATTGACAGCGTCAGAATTTTCTTCTTACTGCTAGAGATTGAACAATACTCCGTACACGGCACAGCGACATGGAATACAAAACCAAAAACAGATGTCGATCAACTAAAAATGCGACTTGAAGACGTCAATTGCCAACAGCCCGAAAACGAGGGGCGTCGGAACACTGTCAGGCCAGAGATGCGCAATTGCCGCGGGGCTCTCAGAAGATTGGCCAAGCGATGATTCGTTCGCCAGCCATGGGTGAGTGATGACGGGTGGATGTGTGCATCAACAACAGTGGAGTGCGGACTGTGGAGAGGAGCTCAAGATCGAGTGCTCATGCTTCCCGGTCATGGTTCCGGGAGTTGGAAAGGGCGTGCTCGGAAAGAAGGCAGGTTATGAGGATACGGAAATTCGGAATGTCCTATTGCTGTGACTTGGCTGTAATGCCATTCCCGGTTCAATGTAGAAGCTTAGCATATGTTGACTGGAAACCTCGTAGGTGATTGGAGGATGGGACGTCAGATGGGGCACGTCCCCGTTCATCGGCGGGTGGGGGGCTGCACATTGCCCTTGCGGTACCGGGAACCTTCGGACCAAGGCAAAAATAGCGAGGCGCTGGCGGTATTCTGCACATGGGAATGGGTGAGGTGCTAATGATTCCGGTGTGATGTTTTTCCCTCTTGCGTGCGAGACTCAGTGGAAGTGGTGGGAGAGGACGTGGGCGTAGGTAATTACCAAGCGGCGTCGTGTGTGGGTGGAGGTTCCAGGCCTGGATGGCTAGCATATGCCTGGCCACTCACTCGAGTCTCAGTCCCAAGGAGTCAAGTCTCCCGTCGATGGAACTATCTCCAAGAGGAAGACAAGCGACCAGCCTGCAGCGGTACATAGGTACGCAGCAAGTAACGCAGATGCGTGGGGTGCGGCGTACCCTCTTGCAGGGAAATGAACAAGGCCGTCGGCCAATGGTCGGAGCCAACCAGCACCGCGGAGCACCCTTGGGGCATTGGGGCCCTTGGGGCCCTTGGGGGGCCCCTCCCTCGGGGGCACTGAAAGTCGCGCTGTCGGGTAAAGAAGTTGACTAATACTATCCACTCGGCCTGTGTCCGCAACCTGCCTCTCCGAACAAAGGCTTCATTCTCGCCCAATTTGACTCCTCTTCCCCCATCCCATCCACTCCTCTCCCTGAACCACCCAGCAGTCCAGCCAGAGACCGAGACGAACCTCGCACTCGACAACCTAGACAGGCAGACGACCGTTCAAGAGAACATCCGACCGACACCTTCGACCTCGACAGACCATCGCCAGGTCTCGTCTTACATCTACCCGATTCGACGCCAAATTTTGCCCCTCCATCGTCGCCGACTTCACTGCCGAGCAAAAGTTGGAATCGATCCCGGTCCACGAACCGCGCGCATTTAATTCAACTACGTTGGGGGCTTTACAACCAACGCGGCCACAACACCAACCCACTTAACGCCATCGCCGCCGTCCTCGACTCGACCTCAGGGACCCAGTCTTTTACAACCACAAAACAAATCGACACCCTCGTCTCGGAGTCGATTTGACGGAGCCCTTTTGCTCTTCTGCCTCTCTGTTCTTTGGTTCCAACACCGCCGGCTTCGTACCCGAGAGCCTTCACCGGCCGAGCGACATGTCGCCTTACACAAGCACTGGAGGCGGGCGCGCGCCCAATGTGTCTCGCTACCTGCGTGACTTGAACACCGTCAAGGAGCCCGGTTCCGCCGAGGAGAACTTCACCTTCGAGGACGATCTCGCCATGTTCACAAACACTCAGTTTTTCGACTTCGAGACTGGCCAGCACACCGACTACCAGGCACCGCCCAAGAAGGCCGAGACCGCTACCGTTGCTGAGCCCCAGGCTCCATCCAGCGCCGTCACCGAAGAATTGACCTCTCCCATTGGCGACTTTGGCAATGTCGACTTTTCTCTGCCAGGTAAGAAGATGCTTTCTTCTTGTTTACTTGGGATTTGGTGTACTTCGTCCTTTTTATTCATGTTGAGCCGTATGGGCTTGTGTGGGATTTGGTATGGATTTTTGGTTGTCCATCAAAAGTTCTGACCCAGTCACATCACATCGCCATTCTCACTCATCATCACCATGCTCATCACTCACACCTGACTTTTTTACTTCAACCATCTGCCACGTTACAGACAGCCATGGGCACAATCACCTTAGTATCGGGCGAATGGGAAACGGACGACGATTCACACCGTTCATACATGAGTCAAGTGGCCCCTCTGAACTTTAACCTCCCAGTTCTCATCAGCGATCAGCTCAACTTTCTCTCAGGGTCGCAGCCAAGCGCATGCGACCGCCTTATCACCAGCCTTTCGAACCCGTCCTTTCTTACCCCACCCTGTTCATGCGCAGTCCATGTTTCATTCGGATGTCTTGATTGGGAGAAGCTGCCTGCTCTTATGCAGGTTGCCGGCGTGCGGTGTTGAGGGAGAGCCGCGACTCCAGATTGGAGCTTACAAATTGCCGGGGGATGGTGCAATATCCCGTGACTTTTCGTCATTCATCCTAGCAGGGATGCTTCGACCATCTGGGCAGCCGCCATCCGACACCGATTAAGCAAGTGCTATGGTTGATGGTCTTGTATCTCCAACATTTAGACTCGTCGATGCGGTTGTTCTTTCGATCAAGCGCTATCCGCCCCGTCTTTCCCCTCATTCCACCGTCTCGACGACGCCACGATGCCAGGAACTGATAACTCCTGCCTTGAATCATCCATCTGACCATGAACAATGACAGGCGAATTCAACTTTCACGATTTCACCAACCCCTACCCTGCCTCGGGCGTCCCGCCCTTCGCCGAAGGCCTGGGTAACCTTCAACCTCTCCAGCCTAACCCGCAACCCACCTACGCACCGCCTCCTGTATCTCAGCAGCACAACCACCACTATGCTGCTCCCACGCCTTCTGCCGCCGAGACCAGAACTCCTGAGTCCTTGAACGGAGTCAGCAGGCCCGGCCACAGCTTCGAGGAGCAGTCTCGCGTTGCCGCAGAGGAGGATAAGCGCAGGAGAAACACCGCCGCCAGCGCCAGGTTCCGCATCAAGAAGAAGCAGCGTGAGCAGGCTCTCGAGAAGAGCGCCAAGGAGATGTCGGACAAGGTCTCGGCTTTGGAGCAGCGTATCAACCTTCTCGAAACCGAGAACCGCTGGCTCAAGAACCTCGTCATGGAGAAGAACGAGGGCAGCGAGGACATTGCTTCTATGCTCAAGGAATTCCAGAACAAGCAAACCAAGACGACCGCGACATCTTCGGACTCTCTCAAGGCTGAGGAGGCAAAGTAGAAATGGGAAAACTTTGTCAATATTCGGAGGAGGCACTATACTTCCTCCGAATGACGCCTGTATGCAATGCGTTTCATGTTCAAGACGTTGGAATTTATTCTGGCACCAAATGGAGTTTGATACCGTGGAGGGATGAAGAGACATACTGTGGGATGGGAGTCGTGATAGGGGGGATTGGAGGGGAGATGAACGGGCGGTACTATTGAGCGGCTTGTTTTTACTGATTGGCAACATGTGATGAGATGTTTACATGTATGTATACCTGCACGAACTCATGATCTGGGACGTGATAGAGTATATCACAGCAATGAATTATACGGATGGGTTTATCGACCCTAAAGCTATTGACTAAAGTCAACTCTAAATTATTCTTTGTTCAACCAAAACTCCTAAAGCCCTTGTTCCCTCCCCCAGCGTGTGTGCTCAGGATAGAGTCAGGTTAGAAGGTCTCAACATCTCGCAACTCGAAGGCGTGCTCCCGCGGTCCCCATCAGGTAGAGTTCAACCACCCCAAGCCAGCACAGGCATCCCCTGGCCTCACCTGCTCTTATGCCCATGGATGGATCGGGAGAGAAAGAGCCGCTGCTCGGCTCTACGTTCGTGTTCACTGGTGACCCCCGCGCCTCTCCACTTCACCGCCGACATGCCCCATTGACAAGAAAAGAGTAAGAACTGATGGCCAAGTACGCCACAGACTCGCGGGCCCTTGTCTAGGGCCCAGAGTCAGTCTTGAGGAGGTACGTAGCGCCATGTCTCGCCCATGGGAGGTTTAGTAGGTAGGCTGGAACGGGGATCCGAACATTCGCGGCTTGTTACAGGTACGGTGACCCCATCTGTCCCATGGATCGGACTCTAGACTCCAGTCTCCAGAGAACGATGAAAAACTCGGAACTCGCTAATCCATAACGATATGCCCTCTCCGGAATGTGGTGGGCTGGGTTCAGAGAGAGTAAGACGGATCATAAGGCATGGGATAGGACAGAGCGAGGGCTGACGATGGCGAAACGGAAAATCCTGTCTGTCTAGGCCCAAGGGGCGGGCGCGGCGTGGGCGGCCGGGCTCAGAACCAGGTTGGAGGACGAGGACGGCACGGTAGAACAAGACGGGATGCAGACTTTTTGGGTCGAATGGAGACGATTCATTTCTTTGGTGCTGGTAACTGTGCAGTGGTTTTACGCAACCACTCGGCCTTACCATCTGAACCCTCGTCGATAC